GACACATTCTTAGAGGTTACATTAGCATTGGATAAACAATCAGAGTACCAAAAAGGCGAAAGTAAATTAACCATATACAATTGATCAACCGTAATATTAGGCCTGTTAGGTCCCCATACCAAGATATATGGATGCATAGTACATATCATAACAGAATTGGAAACATTTTGTTCCAGTTTTATAGAGTATTTACCAGAATGGTTGTCATAGTGGCCATGATAAATAACCCTGTTAATAAAAGGCAACCCTAACCTCCAAATTGTTTTATGTATAGAACTAAAAATTGTACTTCCATCCATGAGTTGTAGGTCTGGATAGACCATGTTCACTCCATGTGATGGGCGCTGTGGAATTCGTATTGAATTATATGGTGACATGGTTACTGCTTAAATGTCCGTAAGGTCCCCAATCTAGTAAAGTCACGTTAAAAATGGAGCTTTTTCTAGGTTGAGGAATTCGACAAGGAGTCCATTGTACTGAGTAGAACTTATACTTCCAGTCCAGGTTTGGTTGGCAAATGGGTATAGGAGGAACTTGAGAGGCATTCACAAATGTTTCAGAGGATGTGGATACAGCAGTAATAAATGTAAGGTTTGCTGCAGTGCTCCCCTTCTTAGGTTGGTAATACAAATACAATTGAGCTTGTAATTGTATGCAAGGAGAATTACTTGTGTTATTAAATTGGATGCATATAGGAGGATTATGAGAGTACAGGGTCAAAGTATCGTTGCTGCACAGATAATTTCCAGTACTGGTCAACAGTGGGATCTGTATTCCACCTGTCCATTCAGAATCATTAGGGTCAAGAGGGAGATCTGCATGCCACCAGGTTAAAGGTGTGAATAAAGGAGGGTTCAGAACACAAGCCCAGTAAGATAGGTTCATGCTTGCAGAAAAAGAAGTGGAGGTAAAGATGCTCATCATGTATATATATATATATGACACAGTAACCTGTAGAGAGGTCAGCTTCATCTGTCGTGGAGCACAAATGAACATATTTCTGTGGAATTCACTGACGGCCATCACCTGTATCAATACATAAAGAGCCCCTCTTCCAAATTTCACCTCATAAGGTCCTTCCTATTTATCCAGGAATGGTTTCTTTACCCAAACCTTTTTCTTTATAGAAGATACAGGCATAGGGGGATTGGAGAAATGGATCGCTGCAATAGAACCATCCTTAGTGTGATTCAAACAAATTAATAGTGTAAAGGGCATGATGTAATATATTATGTGCTTCCTGTACCCTATAGATACCTTTGGGTGATTTTGATGTTTGGGTGCTGGAATAACATGAATAGTAATTTAGATTTTTCTTCCTTCAGAGGCATGGTAGCCATTGATGTCTGTCAGCTGGGGCTGTGGACTGCAGCACCAGCCTCTCCAGTGCCTTTAATGACCAAGCCTCAGAAATCACAGTTCATTTTTACATATTCTAGATGTCACAGACCCACATCTCTTAATGGAGGATTTTCAACACCCTAGGAAAAAAATCTGTGGAATGAATATTGTTACAACCATCTTTGGAAAATACAGCCTGTAACAGTCCACAAAATGTCAAGCCCTTTCACGTGTAAAATACATTCACCACTTCTCAAGACCTTCCAAAATCTCACCTTCATATGGAATTTGGCAAAATCCAAGTCCAGAGTTTCACCATCTCCATCAGAGCAAGGTATGGATGGAGCGCCTCAGGTGCAATTCCTCCAGCACTGCTCCTGGAGGGCCATTCTTCCCTGTGTGAAACCTTGTAATTGAAATAGGTTGTTTGTTCCTTTACTCCCAACATACAATGCCTGAGGCAGGCATAAGACAATGTAATAGACAGTCCCATTCAAAATGGGGGAAAGCTGGAAACTCACAGCAGCCACTGGCCTGTTGTAACTGACATCTGTTAGGGCAATTTGTAGACTAGGGCTCAGTCCTGAGTTTCTGGGAATTATTCTCCATGGCTGATTTTTCTCCTCTTTGGCTTCTTGGCTCTCTGCCTTTTAAGTTATCCTTCCTTTTCCACTAAAAGTGGCTTATAGTTTTAATTGCATAGACTTCTCAGACTGCTTTCTTTCTGGAAAAGTTTGGGGATCTGAAGGCCTCTTTTTCATATGTTCTCTATTACTTTCAGTCTAAACTGGTATTAATTACTTTAAACATATAGTGGATTTGCTGTATATCCGTTTATAATGAATGCCATTAAGCAGTACACCCAGCCACAAGTCTCTTAAAATATGCCCTTTTCCACTTTGGGCTTCTTATGAGTCTGCAGTGGGACAGCAACTTGTTTTTTTGGAGCCTTGTTGCTTAATGGAGAAAACCCTCAGGAGGCCTTTTGCTTATTTAAGAGTCTCTGAGGCACCACCTTAGGTATTTCTGGTCTTAAGGGATTTTACACTCTGAAATTCAGTCTGATCTGATAAACAGGGCTTGCTGTTTGTTTATTGCTGTAGCACACCACTCACAGTATAAATTTCTATCCCCATTCCTATAGCTTTTAAACAAATTACTCCAAAATCTATCACCCTAAATAATAACGGTCTTATCTCGCATATTCTGTGAGTTGGGGATTTGTACAGGTCACAGAAGGAATGGCTTGTCTCTATTTCACAATGTCTAGGGCCGCAGGAGCACACCCCACTGGGTGGCTTGGGGTGACCTGGCCATTGGTAGAAACTTTCCTGTATATGTCTGATGCTTATAATTCTCAGCTGGGACCTCCACTGGCACCGGGTACAGAAGCACCTCGCCATGACCTATCTTTGTGGCCTGGCTTTTCTGACAGCATGGTGGACTCTGTGTAGCTGCACTTTTTACGTGGGGACCTTGGGCTCAAAAGTGAGTGGCCCAGTGAGCAAGCTTTAATGACCTAACCCATTGCTTCTCAGTGAGGGTGATTTTATCCCCTTGGGGACTTTTGGCAATGCCTGGAGACATTTTTGGTTGTTACAACTGGTGATGAGGGCTACTATGGGCATCTAAATGGACAGAGGCCAAGGATGCTGCTAAATATTTACAGTGCACACAGGACAGCACCCTACAACAAAGAATTATTGGCCTCCAAATGTCAGTAGTGCCAAGGTTGATAAACCCTAACGTAGCCGTGGAAGTCATGGCATTATTTCCAAAACATTCTTTTTAAAAGCAATTCATAAGCTATACGGTTAGGCCATTCAAGATGCTGTTCGCTTGCTCTTTGTACATTCCCTGCTAGACCAGTACCTGCTTCACCGACATCCTACCCATGTGAGCATGCTTGCCCCCCCGCCCTTGCTAGTGCTGTGATTGTTCTAATCCTCAGGCCAGAATGGTTTCACCTGCTAGGCAATTAAAGAGAAATATCTGCCCTTGTGATGGCAGTTAACCTGAGGGGTAATGAGGATGGGCCCCAGCTGCTGGTTTCCCTGGTAACTGATGAGCCAATCTGACGTCACTTCCCCCTATAAATGGTAGTCCCCTCCCCACCTCTGAGTAGCAAGGGTGGCTGAAGTGTCCTGCCTGCTGCCCACGGTGGAGTGTTTGTTCCAGGACCTTTTGCTGTGGACGTGTAAGATCTCCTGTCCCATAGACCACTGATGTCTCACCCACTATTTTTGGGCTCTTTCTTTGGTCTTGAGGCTGGGCAGCTATGTGGCTTGCAGGCCTGAAGGGTACAGCCCAACAATTGGCAAGCCAGCCAAGAAGCCAAGGAAACGCTGTGAGTGCTGAACTGAGGGGAAGTAAGGATGGGAAATAGAGTTGGGGGTGGGGGGATCACGAGGTGGCCGTCCTCTAGCGGCTGAGGTTCTGTGGCAGCCATTGACCATGAGGGGTGCCTTTCTTTTCCAGTATGTTGATGATATTCTGTTAACCTCGGAGTCTCTTTCCAATTTAAAAGTAGAAGCCCCATGCTGGTGGCTCATCTGACTACACGAGGACGGCTGGTGAATGCAGACAAATTGTAAGGACCTGGATTACCTATCAAATGCTTGGGTGTTATCTGATGGGATAATAAAAGCCTACCCCCGACCCACCACTACTAAACAATTACAGGCACAGGTTTTAGGGATATTAACTCAGGACAGGCTTGTGAATTGGGTGTGGCCGGTTACCTGGAAGGATTTGGTTGGGGCCTGTGGCAGTGGCAAAATTGTGAGTACCCTTGGGCTTCTGGTCTCTGCGATGGAAAGGGGCAGAGCAACAGTGCAGTGTGAAGGAGCAGCAGCTGTATGCAGTCTACAGAGTGCTACAACAAGACATTTCAAAAGGCCTACAACACGGTCCAGCTGCTTGCCGCTCAAAATTCAATCAGTACTCCAGAGAAGCAAATGTGTTAGAAAGGGAAGTTGCTTTTATTCAGGATGCCAGCAATCTGGGAAGATGGTGGACTCAGTGTCCCCCAAAAACCATCTCCAAATATTCTGCTCAGCCATGAAAGTTTTGAAGGGAAAGGGGGGAAATAATTTCAGTTAATCATTGAGATAGGGGTCAGAGTCACTGCCAGGCCCGGAACTGTGTGCAGGCTTCCCGAGCAGGCTTATGGTGCAGGGTTGTGATCTTTTCTTTAGATGCTATCTGTTCACACAGCTGCTTAGTGCACTTTGTTGGGAAGACTGCTGAAGGGGAAGCTAGGGAAGAGACCTTGGTCATCTGTTAATTACTTATTTTCTGTTTGTTTCTTTGATCTACAAAAAGAACTGATAGGTTAGGCAAGGTATCGTTTGATGAAGATTTGAAAGGTGTGCTAGTGTTGCTGGTAGATGTAGCCGGTGTTGAGGTTCTTGTCCCATCCCAGAAAGAATTCAGAGATGAGATGCAGAGGTTAAGAAAGTAAACTGAGGACTTATTAAGGAATGGATACAACACTTTCAAGGGGAGAGCAGGCAGGCTCAGGTGAGCAGCTGCCCTGAGTTTCTTTGGTTACATAGGATGTAAAAATGAATGGGCAGAATATTCATTTGGGAGGAAAGGGTTTGGGGTCTTATTCCCTGATTTTCATCCCAACTCCACCCTCCCAAAGGGAGGAAGGATTTTTGTCCTTATTTAGTCTGAATCTGAAGTTTCATGGTGTCAGTGAGTGATGGGTACTTCTAATCTGCAAGGCTAATTTGATTGTAATGAGGGCATAATGAGCAAAATGTTACATTGGACACTGGGAATTCCGCCCTTTTCTTTGTTGGCCTCTAGGCTGTTTGTCACCTGAAAGGTGTGACTACTTATCAGCCAGAAGATTCCTGCTTTTCTTTCTCTGCCTAGGGACCCCTGGTGCTTACATAATGGATGGTTTCCTGTGCCATCCTTTATGTGCCCCTCCTTTCTGCCCAATTCCTGCCATTTGGTCTGTGTTCCCTTTTCTCTGCTCATATCTAGTTATCTGCCTGCTCTGACAGTAGGGCCAGAGATGAGTAGAGTAAAGTAGTGCCTGGCTTAAGGTTAGGGACAAGACAAGGGGTTTCCTACTGAGGGCGGTTTCCTGCAAAAAGCTGCTTACAATAGAGGAATTCAAAAAAAAATAAAAAATAAAAAAGGGGGAACTCTTCAGGGTCTAAAACAGCTGTGTGTGACATACAGGATCCTCATTGTTACAAGACCCTTTCCAGTTTCTTGGACAGCGATACCATAGAAATGAATATCACTTAAAACTCTTGGACAAGCAAAGCTTTTTATAAAGAGAGGTTGTGTACAAGGGAGATGGTGGGGCGGGGGGAGTCAGCTCCCTGAGTAGAAAGGGCAAGTTGGTTTTTTTATAACAAAGGGAGAGTTTGTCTCCTGATCACTGAAAATATCCAGAAATCATCAGACTTATTTGGTCAGCAGCAGGTGGCTCCCTGGTGGTGTCAACTTAAATACAATGCACAACCTAAAAGATAATACTTATGTTTTATTCAGTGGACATTTTTGAGGACTCAAACCCCCTCAAGCCTGGGATGACAGCCTCCCAGATCACTCTGAGGGAATGCTCCGAAAAGGTAGGGGAGGAGCCAGGATATATAGGAGCTTTACAACAAAGACCAGGTAGTCAGAACATTAAAAGATTAGTGTTAAAGAAAACCAGACATCTCAAGTTAAAGAATTTAGTGCTTTTCTATGTATGGGAATGTTGCCAAGTCCAAACTCGTTCTGCTCGCTGTGCGACAGGCCAATAAATCAGGATACGAAGTGTTGGGGCAAGGAATAGCGACTTTATTCAGAAGGCTGGCAGACCAAGAGGATGGCAGACTAATGTCTTGGAGAACCATCCTGCTCTAGTCAGAATATAGGCTCCTTTTATACAAAAAAGAAAGGAGGGGGTGTGGTTGATTGTTGCAAACTTCTTGCTGCAGGCATTCTTTGTTCTTGCAGCCATCCATGTGAGCCAGGTCATGGTGTCCATGTAAACTTCCAATAAAACAAAGGTTATTCTCTATTACTGGAAGGAGCAAACATTTGGGCTCATTGAAATCATCCCTTTGAGAAGCACCTAGCTGCGTAGGGCCAGTATCCTGTCCTTTCTTATTCTGAGTCCCCTTAGAGTGCACTATTGCGGGTGCTGCAGAGGCTGGGCTGCCAGCTTCTCTGCACCCGGAGCTCACTGTAGGGAGTGGTGGCAGCTGATTACTTGATGGCTTCATCATTCTTTGTTTACTGATGTGGCTTGCAGTATTTTCCATTCACAGTGCTCCCCCTGACCCTAAGTTCAACCAATATTTTGGGAGACGTTTCATGACCAATTTTGTCCAGTGGCGCTGGGAAGGCTCATTCCTAGATCAGGCGAAGACTGTTGACATGCCACTCAAAGTGCTAATTTTTGGATAAGGCCCTGGTTATACTAAAAAATTCTCTGGATCATCAATCTTAATAGTCTATTGTCATCCAGGAAATGTTTTTCCCATGTTGCTTATTTCCATACCTAGAATCACACTATTATAATTATTTTATGCAGGGGTATAATGTGATCTATGTTTTTAAAGATGTTTAGCATCTTGTCAGAGGCCTAGTTACACATTGGGAAATGTAAGAAACAATAATCTTATAAAATTGAATAAGTAATAGTAACATTAATAAAGTCAAAAAAGCATAACAATTTAGAAACAAAGAACAAATTAAAACAATGGTTAGAATAACTATTTGTGTTGCCGGTGGATCCAACCAGTGTTCCAGGTTCTTCTCCGGTCCCAGAAAGAATTCAGAGAGAAGACGTAGAGGTTAAGAAAAGTAAAGTGAAGATTTATTAAAGGATGTATAGTACACTCTCAAGGCGAGAGTGGGCAGGCTCTAAGCTGCTGCCCTGAGTTTCTTTGACGAGTTAGTTACTTAGGGTGTAAAAATGAATGGGCGGAATATTCATGGTGGAGGGAAGGGCTTGGGATCGTATTTCCTGATTATCATCCCAACTCCACCTTCCCAAAGGGAGGAGGGATTTTTGTCCTTATTTAGTCTGGATCAGAAGTGTCATGGCTTTGGTGCATGATGGGTACTTCTGACCTGCAAGGCTAATTTTACTGAAATGAGGGCATAATGAGCAAAAGGTTACATTCAGACACTAGAAATTCCTGCCTTTTCTGACCTTTCTTTTTTGGTCTCCAGGCCAAAAGTTGTGACCCCTTATCAGCCCAAAGATTCCTGCTTTTCTTTCTCTGCCCAGGGCCCCCTGGTGCTTACATGATGTATGTTTTCCTGCATTTGGCTTGTGCCCCTCCTTTCTGCCCAATTCCTGCCACTTGGTCTGTGTCCCCCTTTCTCTGCTCATATCTAGCTGTCTGCCTGCTCTAACAGTTGTAATCTGGTTGCAATAACCATGAAGTTCACAGAGGAGTTAGCTGGGAAAGTTAAATTCTGGAAGGATCAAGTAGAGAGAAAAAGATAAATGTTTCATCCTTGTTTACAAAGGCATACTTTATCAACTTGTAGGTCATAGGATAAGAGGAAAGGTTTTCTGGGAAATAGAGTAAAGGCCAGTATATTACTCAAAACCTTTAAAAATCATAAGATTATCAATCATATTTCTCACTTCATTCAGTTCCATGTAATTAATTTCTGTTTACCTCGATGAAGTCATCAAGTTTCCATTAGAGTTTCATAATTTACCCAGTTCAATAGTATAATTGTTACAGAAACAACAGGCCAGCCAAGAAACAAGCACCACTCAGAGGGTTGGAGTACTCAGATGTATTACACCGGTGGGCTCAGAGGGGCTTCTACTCTGAAGCTCTGAACACCTCCAAGACATGTGCATGAGGTTTTATAGGGTTAATTACAAGCATGGGTCTATTAGCCAATAAGGCTCAAACAGCAAAAGCAAGGAATCAGTACATTGGAACTTATCTATTAGGAACAGATCTTGTTACTGACACTTGTTGAGCTTGGATTTACGAGTTAGCTTTTTAGCCCAGTAAACTGACACTTACTAAACTTCAGATTTATGAATTAGCCTGGCAGAACTTAGATCAGTAAACTGATAGTTATTACACTTAGATTTACGAGTTAGCATGTTACGGAAAAGACAGGCCAGCCAAGAAACAAGCACCACTCAGATGTAGTATGCCGGCAGGCTCAGAGGGGCTTCTTCTCCGAAGCTCTGAGCACCTCCAGGATGTGCGCATGAGGTTTTATAGGGTAAAGTACATACAAGCTTGGGGTATACGGCCAATAGGCATGGGACAGCTTTAG